TATAAAAGTATATATAATAATTTTTTTTAAATTATTGTATATTTTCATAGTTTGGAAAATAGATTTGGAATAGGTTTGAAATAGCAAATCATTTTTCCTTCAAGGAAAATATATTCGCATATAATAATTTAAGTAACAGTTTTTTCTGAGAAGAACACGCGTACTCGGCTCGATTTAAAAAAATCTAAAATTTATTGATATCACGTTATTTACAGCATATATTAACGAGAGATATCGCGATGAGATATCGTGATAAGATATCGCACAATGATCGCACTATCCATATAGACAATCCCAATAATCTACTAGAATTCAGAAAATTGACAAAGAATTAAATATCCTCCTTGAGTATTTTTACTTCCTCGTCTTATGGAAGACTTGTCGTCCTTCGGCCTTGCGATATAGCCCAGCCAATAGATGAGTCTGTCGGAGATTTACTCCGCTTCGGTCGCGTATCGCTACCGAACCTTTCGTGCGTTTTCACGGTAATAAATTTATTCTAGACTTTAATACCAGAAAAATGTAATACAAATTTTCAAAGTAATTGTTTTTTATTTACAGTAAAATTCGTGAAACTTTTAAAAAGTAAATGATAAAAAGAAATCTTATCTGAAATGCTATAATGTCTAAAATTAGCGAACATCTAGATCATAGTTTTCCAACCTTTTTTAGCTTATCACCACCTTTTCAAAATATTTTTTGTTCAGCGTCTCCTTGATAGTAACCGGTAAACTCTCTCTGAACTCTAAATAAAGTAACAACACAAAAATTATATAGAATTAAATAAAAAATATTAAAAAATTATAATATAAAAAAGTATAATATAAACATAAAAAATTAAAAAAATCACCATTTATGAGAAGTTTGAGCTTGGTGTGACACTAATAATTTGTCTATAATTTGGTTCCATTTTTGTTAGCAGCATTCTTAAATCTCCACGTTCAACTATTTGCACTAGATTTCTCTTTTTCGTCAAAAGACGAAACTTGTAACTGCATTAAATCCACGTTCCAACTAATTAGGATGAGGGAAATGCAATAAAAATTTTTTTTGCTACAGTCTATAATATACTGAAATAATTAAGGTTTAAATATTTGTTTAAAAAATATTTAGGAGATTAAATTTTTCTGACACATTCTTTTGTCCACTTGCTTCTCAACTCCACCTTACTGCCCTTAGGTCTAACAACATCCTAAGCAGCAAGGTGACGTGATTTTCACGTCGATAAATGGTAATTACTAGTCTTAAACGTCATGTTCCCAATAATTGGCGTTTAATAGACATGAGTATATTATTCTGACATAATAATAACATCAATTTAGAGACGTCTTTGATACGTTTTTAATAGATCATTTTCAACTATTTGAAATGTTACTGTGGCATTGTTATAATAAAGTCATATATATGATTTATTGAATACTCGTATATGTTATTTTATTGTACGTTATTTTATTACCTGCAACATTATTAATATGTCATTTGATACATTACTCCTCCAGGATGCATATGATTCAAGTTTATATTTTAAAATAAGTGGTTCTTTTATTTTTCTCACATCGAAAGAGTGTTGCAACCGTTCTGTTTTATAAAGTTCCTCTAATTCCTCACACATGATCTTACAAAGGTATTATTGCAAAATGTATACTTTTATCAGTAATAGTGAATAAAGAGTGGATATCTTTTCCCATAATATATTCATTATTATTAGTTTGAAATTATATTTTGAACTATTATATTTGGAACTACTGCAAGGAGGGTTGTGTATTGTGTTTATCTTTTACATTTTTGACAGAAATGCGATTATTAATATATTCGACCATATCTACAAAAGGTAAGTTAAGCATTACTTTTTTCGGAATATTTGAAAATGCAAAATATAATAGATGTTAGAGATCGTTAAACCAATTTTGCTTGTAAATATGAATTATAAATTTTTCAGAAAATGAACCAACAATTTTTTCGCCAAAGAAGCCTGCAAATGCAAAATACAGTGTGCCAGAATGTAATTCTACTACAAGTAAAGATCGAAATTTGTTTTTTCATTTATTTCCAAAAGTAAAGATTGTTAAAGTAGGAGTTAAAAATTGGAAACACAGAGATGTTCGACTTGCAAACATTGGTTAAAAAAGTTAAAATTTGAGAAACCTTGCATTAATACCATGAAAATATGTTCAAAACGCATTACCAAAGAAGATTTTTGCTATTCAGGTAAATGACAGTTAGTTTTTTGATGTTTTAGTTTTTTTATAATTTTTGATTTAGATAAGAAATCAAGCAGAAAAATATTGAAAAAGAATGCAATTCTTTCTTTTCATCTTTCTTCAACTGCCACACATGCAATCCAAAAACAAAAGATTATAATGAGACCTACTCGAGAAAGTAGAAGTCGACGAATAAATTTTCAAGAATGTAAGAAAGAGCACTCGGAAGCTTAGAGATAAGAAATTTTTAAAATCTGATTTTGCTATTACATTTTATACTCCGAATTATTTACACTTGGAATCAGGGACTTATCAATATGTCAAAAACTACAATTGAATCCAAATGCTGTAAAAAGATTATATTAAAGTATTAATCAATTTTATTGAAGATTTAACAGATTGACCATATATTATATTTCGCTCAGAGTGTGAAATGGCAGGCTTACTAATATTATATATATATAAATCTTTATATATTGAATGTTTTTTTCTTTAAAACCTTTAACCAATGCTTTGGGTGTGTTTTGAAAAATTTTGCATGTGTTTTGTTGATGTTTCTTGTAAATTATAGCATGTGTTTCTTGTGAATTAGCATGTGGATTTTTAACATGTGTTGTGTATGTAAAATACTTTATTACTTCTATTATTATATTCTAGGGAAGTAATAACTCTGCACATATTTCGAATAACGACGTCGCTTCAGAAAATGATGCAGAGGAAAAATCTTCCCAAAATAAAAAAAAATTCAATTTCGATACATGCAAAGCTTCACTTTTATTGAAAACTGACCAAAGAAACATTGGCACTCAAATAACTAGTGGAAACTTACGCACTTAAACTACTCTATTCTATATTATATAACTTCAGATGAAGTTGTCAATACACTCACACCGGTCTTTCTACAATAGAAACTTTAATGGATTAGCTCAAATTATTGAATAAATAAGACGTCCTAAGAAAAGACCATTTATCTGTAAAAAAACAAATCGTTTTTACTGTCTTGAAGATAAAATAAGATTTATTTGCTTTGGTAAAAATTATTTCCGGATTGTTTTTTATGAACTTTTTTTTGTGTTTTTACTCATATATGGATTTTTAGTTACATGTACTGTGTATACATGTCATCTTATATAAAATTTTGTAAATAAGAAATAGAAAATATAATGATAATATAATGAAAGAATATAAATAATAAAATGTAAAGTACGGAATTTTTCTTTAATCTTTATATTTGTTCTCTTTGATCACAACAGTTTTCATGTAATATGTTATCTATTTCAGAATTCTACTTATATCAAAAAATATTAGAATTTAATTATGAGAAACAAATTATGTTCAATTAGAGTAACCAAATTATGAATTTATGCTATGTATAATAAATTATGGATTTAGTTACTTTATTTTCGTTGCAAAGAAAAGTAGCAAGATTTTGCATTTTTAAATCCAAAGGATTTTATTGTAAGAACGTTTCTCGAATATTAACAACTCTACAAATTTATTATACATGACCTAGTTCAATATTAAAATGGCCTTTAGTTATAAAAAATCTAGCGTACTGAAGTCATATAGAGTGTTGAATCTCATTTGTTATATTGAAGTAACCTTCATATTCTGTTATATCCGGTGTAATATCGCTAATAAATTGTCCGCCAGCTTCATAATTAGAGAAACAATGGAATTCATTTCTGTTGTACAGACTCTAAAAAACGAACAATTAAAGAATATCATTGGGATGTTTAAATTTTCAGATTTAAACAAAACTGTTGCGTTCAATGATTAAATGATTGCGAAAGGTTCCTCTATTTTAACTCAATTTAGTAATCACAGATTTAAATTTGACAGAAGCGGATTGATAAACGTAGTTGTAATAATTAATAAATAAACAATTAAATTTCTAATATGTATCTATGGTAAATAATAAATATAGTATGATAACTTCAAGATCAATGGTTTTTATCGTCCGCATAACCGAGACAAATAACTTATAACATCTTAACGCTGTCCCTCAGTTATTAGTTCTGGCTTATCGTTAATTATCGTGCCAACGGCTATCATATCTGACTCTAGATGTATCTGGTAACATTGCTGTCTTCTAATAAAATCGTAAAATTCTAACATCGACTCTTCATAATTGTCCCACATAAGATTATACGCCACACTTCCGTATTTCATTTTTAGAACACCACCTAAAGCTTAGAGGCCAGACATAAAAAATTATATGATTGTCTTTATTTTCCTTTTTTAACTGTATACACCAGACTAATAATTACCAACATGTCTATCTTCATTTCTTTTATATTTTTCGTAAAGGATTGCATTGAAGTTATGATATCTGTGTCATTTGTTTTTCGACCTTTGGCACGCACTCTGATAACAAGGCCTGCACTATCCTCGCTAACAAAGAAATTGCCTTTGTTCGTGAATATCATTTCATTAGGATCAATTAATTTTTGTATTCTTGTCTGTCCGTTACGCTTTTCTGCAAAAATAAGGCGACTCTCGTTCCTAAGATCCATAGGTGCTCTGTACATTCATAATAAGCTACAACAATAATCAGGTTCATGAGAAACAGTAACAATATTATAGAAATCATGTATATGATAAAAGTATAATTGAAATTCAATAAAATAAGCTGAGTAGCCTTAAATC